ACAATTTATCTACTAAATTTAAATTATCAATTAACTGAATTTCAGACCATTTGAAATTTTAATACGTAACAGTGTTCTTTGTTATATTACTATGTTGCACTTTTAGCGTCTTTCAATACCAGCTTCCTGGGCTTGTATTTACTTGTATAAACTTGCAGCTTAAAAGGGCACATACTGTGTCATACCCTATATCAGTCCTGTTCTCTGTTACGATCTCTCTCATCATTGAAAATGCCCTTTCACTCGATGTGGTACAACAAGTAGACGGTATAACACAACAAAGTATAACAATGTCACACAAAATGAGTAAATATTTACTTTATCCTGGTTGGCACTCTGTGAAGTTGAATTTTGCGACTCAGTTCATTTTGTTAAATTATTTAAAAAGTTGATATCGAGAGATCCTGGTCGCGTGTCGGGAGATAGGGAAACAGGACACCATATCGGGAAACTCTCGCCGAAATCGGAAAAGTTGACAGGCCTTCAATACTCAGTAAATTATGACTAATTACGTATTAATTGTTTGATAACTGAATATAGGGCTATAGTTAAAACGGAGTTTAAAGAATCATTTGAGCGTAAGTCACGAAAAATAAACGGTTAAATATGCAAATTAAGAAACTATAAATAAAATGCGTTTACACATGTACAATTAAAACTAAAAACATGTATATCTAAAGATTTTCAGTTTAATGTTAAATCCATAATAAAGTATAAAACAGGTACAAAGAATGAATAATCGTAAAGCTTTAGGTGTGAAAATATAAAACTGGGACAAAAAATGAACAGTCGTAAAGCTTTATGTGTGCGAATACAAAACAGGTACAAAGAATGAACAATCGTAAAGCTTTATGTGTGAAAGTATAAAACAGGTACAAAAATGAACAAGCGTAAAACTTTACGTGTGCAAATATAAAACAGGTACAAAGAATGAACAATCTTAAAGCTTTACGTGTGAAAGTATAAAACAGGTACAAAAAATGGACAAGCGTAAAGTTTTATACGTGCAAGTGCAAAGAATAAACAATCGTAAAGCTTTAGGTGTGTAAATATAAAACGGGTACAAAAAATTAACAATCGTAAAGCTTTAGGTGTGCAAATATAAAACAGGTACAAAGAATAAATAATTTTAAAGCTTTAGTCATATACACCTGGCACTAAACTAGTACTGAGAAGTATACAGTCTTGATATATAACTACTAGTGTGTAATTAGAACTAACCAATACATACTATTGTCATATACACCTGGCACTAAACTGGTACTGAGAAGTATACAGTCTTGATATATAACTACTAGTGTGTAATTAGAACTAACCAATACATACTATTGTCATATACACCTGGCACTAAACTGATACTGAGAAGTATACAGTCTTGATATATAACTACTAGTGTGTAATTAGAACTAAGCTAAGCTAATGCTTAGACATGGATAATGTTTTATAATGCCTATTTGGGAGACGTCAGTACAAGATATTTACTGAGCCCTTATTACTGGACTAATGTAATGCTGATACCGGTGATTACTATGTGTAACTTTTAAACAATATTTTCCATTTTAGCTGATTTAAAGGATTTATACTTTAATCCATTCGTTGCCTTCGTATCTCACAATTAAAAAAAAAAAGTGCTATGTAATAACTAGAAAGCTACATTTAGACGAAGTAATTTTCATGACCTACCTGTAATTCATTGGCTGAAGAGAACGAACTAGAACACAAAAGACAGCGGAAAGCCGGACTTGAGGTTGGCTCACGGGTTTCCTTGTGGCTCTGCATGTGTGATGTAAGTGCTGCTCTAGTGCTGTAGCCACGGTTACATTCAGTACACTTGAAGGGTTTAGCATGATCGTGGGTCCTCATGTGGATCTTCAGGTGGTCACTCCGGGAGAAAGCGGACTTGCAGTGCTTACAGCGGTACCGCTTGTCGCCCGTGTGCAACCTGACGTGCCGATCGCGGCTCCGCTTGTGCTTAAAGTGACGCTGACAAAAATCACATTTAAACGGCATTCGGTCGCTGTTTGTCTGTAGAGGAAAGACAGTTCAGGCTTGCATAAACGTTGCTGGTACATATTTCAGCCCTGTTATCATTTTCATTTTTATGTATTTAAAAAAATCTGGCAAGGTAGTTATAACTTATGATTTATTGAATGTATATATATAAATATACATACAGTTAGTTTAGTTGAGGTATGTTGATTACACATTTTGAATTATTCTTTATAATTCTGCCGCCACATGAAACATCGTGTGACATTAAATCTGTTTATTATTATTATGGGGGATAAGATATTAAAATTATGTTGTAAACAGGAAGACATTAATAATGTAATTTCTATCAATTAAGTATATAGCAGTAGAAAGAGGTTTTAATCTTGATATTGTTGAGAGCTGTTAAAAACTAAACGAGAGGGAATCCTCAATAGCCACGGCACTTGAAATTCTTTTAGGCAGCATTGGAGTGAATTAATCTACGAGCCTTTATTTTTTTCCTTTTATAGCTATTAGTTATATTTTTGTGCTCCACCAATACCAAACAGGGGGCGCGTATACCCGATTTGATTTTATTACTCATCAGGACCTGTACCAGCCTACCTTCAAATTGAAATTATTTTAAGCAGGATTGGAGTAAATCATTCTATGAGACCTTGGGCGTGATCAAATACACCAATCGAAAGGGTTTGACCACCCGAATCCAAAACTGTAATTATATCTCAAATCGGTGAAGAGATGACGGAACTATGAGTTAAAAGTTTGTACTTGAAAAAACAACAACAAAAAAAACATTCTATGAGCCACTATACCGCGGCTAAAAGTGGGGATAAAAATATTAAGTTAAAACCACTTGCCGAAAAAAGTAAGAAAGAAGGTCTTGTACTGTCGTTTATATCTCGTTTATCTTGTCAAGTAAAACTCACTTTTCTGTTAAAGTTAGCGGTGGATACTGTTGACTAGCTGGACTTACCTCTAGTTTATCAGTTCAAAATAAGGGACGGCTAGGGAAGATCATTCTTGTGTAGCTTTGCATCAGTATCTGAAACGAACAAAGGAACATACCTGTTTCTGTCGCTTTAGAAAAATTAGTCGTGGAAAAACTTTGTTGCAAAATTGACAACCGTATGGTATGTCCTCTGTCGTATTAATAGTATAGTTAAGATATCCGTCTGGTTCTGAGGGTGCGGGACAACTCGAAGTTGCCAAGGAGACGAGCTGGTTGTCGGGAATACTGCAAGATTCCCAGGAAGTTGGAGTTCCAATATCGTTGTTTATTCCTGAAGAGAATCAATATCTTTGTCTTTTAGTTATCCATTATTTTTCGTAGTATCTATAATATTTCAAAATACTTGTTCTAAGCAATTATTGTTTGTTCTGTTTAATCGGTGAGAGAAGTAAAATATTTCGAAATCCACTGATGTGATATGAAAGTTCGAGAAACATAACTGAGAATTTTATCAACAAACTTTGAGATTCAACTTTTAACGTATATTTCTTGAATCACGGTGTATCTTGAAAGCCTCAAAATGATGTAACAAGATTCATAGCGTTACTATAATAACTCGGTGCCACATTTTTACTCTTTATAGTAGTGCAAACGAGGGCAAGTAGAGTTATTGTTGTAACAGGTTCACACATCTATTTCTCACATTCAGCAGGAACTAGGATTACTCATTGATTTTCACATTCAACAAGAAGCAAACTTACACATTGATTTTCACATTCAACAAGAAGCAGACTTACACATTGATTTCCCACATTCAGTTGGAAGAAGGCTTACACACTTGTTTCTTACATTTAGCTAGAAGCAAGCTCACACACCGATTTCTTAAATTAAGCTGCAAGAAGGTTTATGCATATAACATTTATCACATTCAGCTGGAGGGAGACGCTAACTTCTCACATCCAGCTGGATGTAGGTTTGAACACTATTTTAGTTTTCTTCTGTAGGTTAGATCCTATTCACCCTCTCCTTCACCAAACATAGCCAAAAAAACAACAACAACAACAAACAAACTTGTAGCTGACTTATATAAGTCAGATTATTACTAACTCCTGTGGTACATGAAACAATATTACTACTCCCTGTGGTACATGAAACAATATTACTACCCCTATGGTACATAAAACAATATTACTATTCCATATGGTACATAAAACATACTAGCTGGTTTTTTTTCCATTTACTTTAGACAGGTGTACACTTCATGTTTGCAAGAAAAAATAGTTCATTCGGTCGTAGAATTAACACATCAGTTTTGGAATATAGCTAACTCACAAGGGTTCTAGTTATTTGGGGTCATAAGTCGTTTCTTTTGGTGTTCCTGAACTCTGTTAAGGAAGGAATCGTTATGAGGATCTGTGGTTTTATATCCTACGAGTTCAGTAATGTGGTGATGTAACAACACCTGGAACCTCTTTTCTCCCTGCGTTGGGAACCAGTGCAGTCAGGGAAATATGGTTTTATAGGATTCTTTACAATATCTCTCACTCTAATTAAGAAGTCCTACAGGCATTCAACTAACTTAGAGCTGTCAACAGATTCGTGAAAGTAATGTTGTCAATTGTCTTGTAAACTCGTCGTATATGGCTTATTGCGTTATTGTAAATATTGTTTCTCTCTGTTTACAGTATGCTCCTTCTGATTTAGGCCCGGCATGGCCAGGTGGCTAGAGCGCTCGACTCGCAATCTGAGGGTCGTGGGTTCGAATCCCCGTCACACCAAACATGCTCGCCCTTTCAGACGTGGGGGCGTTATAATGTGACGGTCAATCCCA